CCCCGAAACTGGCTATATTTAAGGAGGGGTAGGTTTTTTCAGATTTCTAAAATATTCAAGACGGTGCTTAAGGAGGTTAAGCACAATGTTTGTACCAAATTTGGTTGAAATCGGTGAAGTAGTTATATGATATAAGCGGATAGTGCCACCCCCATTTTCCTAAACATTTTTTAAAAGCCAATATTTTGCTAAAGAGCGATTGTATATATCAATTTTGAATAAATATTGATGAATACCTTAGAAACACGGCTCAAAAAATCTGAAAGTCCGGTACACACACAATAAAATTGCAAGGCTGTATTTAAGAAAAGTTGCATAATTTCGACAATTTTTATTCGATTAGAATAAATGAGCTATCAGTTTATTTGAAAATAGATTTAACTAGTGAGCCCGCATGGCGTTAAAACGCCCAAAATTGAATTTCAAAAACTTAAAAAATATTCCAAATGTTAGTCAGAGCTATAAGAGATCCAAGTGCCATATTTCATTAAAATCGTGCAGCCGTTGCGGAGTGAAGAGCAGTCTCGCATAGTGCATGTTTTTATTTTCATCGAATTTCTAATCACTCTATACCGATGAAAAAAGTTCAGATGGCATTGACTATTAAATAATTTGATTTTAATTTTTCAACAATTAATTTTTCGAAAAACTAAAACCAGTTTGCACACCAACAAACCAAGCGCTTTAATTTGACATCTCATTTTTGAAAATCGGGCGAACGGTACAGATCTTTTATCCTGGACAAAAAATCTCTTCGCGCATTAAATATATAGATTTTAGGTAGTACTACATATTTTGAAACTGTGGACATTAGTGATGGTAAAAACTTAAAAATTAAGAAAAAATGTTTTTTTTTTTAATTTGCCCGATGAAATTTCCCAACAATCCAAGTCTGACAAGAGATTATATATCGTTTAAATCCTCTCCTCACAAAATGTTCGATCTTTAAAATTGAATGGAAACTAGTCATTCAAAAACTAGTAAATCTACAAAACCGTACTTAACGACCTAAAATGACAAGGCGCTACTTTTGAAAAATCTTTAAAAATAGGCAATAATATTTTTCATAAAAAGGAAGGAAATGAAGGGGTAGGGTCTTGAAAAAAAAAATCGATGTGCACCCTAATGTATACACATACATACATGCATACATACATATAATTTTCCCTGTGCTTTCGTTCAAGTTCAATGTTTTCGAAATTCAAAACTGATAACGTCCAGGCCAACGTAAAGTTATGCTTATTCACAAAATTGTATACATGCCCGTACATATGTANTAAAAACCGATGTGCACCCTAATGTATACACATACATACATATAATTTTCCCTGTGCTTTCGTTCAAGTTCAATGTTTTCGAAATTCAAAACTGATAACGTCCAGGCCAACGTAAAGTTATGCTTATTCACAAAATTGTATACATGCCCGTACATATGTATATGTATGTATTTACGTTTACAAAATGTACATATATATATATCTAAGTATATGCCTTAGTATCTAAACTCGTAAAAACATAGATTAGTAAGTATATTTGCTGTTTGACTTCATCTAATAGTTTTTCCAACAAATGATATCCACCGGTTATTAACTACACATATATGTACGTATGTATAAACTACATAAAACCTCACACTCACCATTATATTCCTGCCCCAAAACGTAAGTTTGCGGATTCCCACTGATTGTGACAACGAAATTCTCATCTACCGGGGATTTTGGCATATTTGTATTTGTCGGATAGCGACTGCATATTAGCGCATCCACTTGGTGATGTTTGGCCAAAAGAAACACTACGAATATTGCTTTGAGCAACAACATATTCATTAAAGCGGTTGTTTACGCGTTCGATTCGAAAAGTAAACTAATCGTTGAGCTCGGCTAGGATGCTGCTGAGGCCGATATGAGTGGAGATTATGATTGTTTTCGCAAAAAAAAAAATATATACTGATACCATGTATATGCACGTACTACAGTGATGTGTGAAAAAGTGCGAACAGCTCTAGAACTGACTGCTAAAATAAAAGTTTCAGTAATCGAGAGGTGGCTAGATTAGGTTAGGAAGGCGCGTATGACTGACTTGTACTTCCACCCGTATGAAGACTTGCCCTTTGCGAATACCCTTTATGAGTGCCAGGAGGAGGCACATACTTCAAACCGCAGTTGTTCCACATTGTGAGTATAGTGTGTGTTCAAAAATTTACTATTCCGGATGAAACTCTAGAGCTCCGGTATTTTGACTTCCGCTATCTCCCACAATTATTGAAAATCATGATCCCAAATGCTTGAGACGCCTTATTTGGAGGGCCGGACATTGACATAGGCAGTAGTGAAACGATTTCTCTTCTTCCACATCCTTATAACTTATGGGTATACGCCATCGATTGAGCTATAGCACAGTGCGTTGTGATGGCGCCGACAAGAGCCCTTACTGCAGATTTGTTTAGTGATAATAGTTCTTCAGTACGACTCTTATTGAGTCTCGGCCATAACCATATTGAGATCTCACAGTCATTCCGATTGATGCATAGGCTATTAGTTACAGCTGTCGTGTAGTAGGAAGTTATCCGCATAGCCTATTTGTAATTCCAGGCCGCGTCTAAACATTTCGTTGGCTAAATCTTTCTTTACCTTCGATATTGCTATGTCCAGGAGTCTAGCAGAGAAGCCAGCGATGCTGAGCTACTTTTGACTTTACTAGCTTGGGAATTTCTGAACTATACTCGATTTTACTGCCTTGGAACCTAATGTTTTCATTGCCGCCTGGTTGTTAACGAATATAGCGATATTTCCTGACCGAGGCTTACTTAACCGTATGAGATAAACCGCACTCTGTTTGGCAAGGATATCCGTTTGAAAGACACTGCAGCTATCACGCAGGTGATATGATTGCCTTATCTGAAAGCCCATGGGACACAGATCCGATCCATTTCTTTTTTAAACATTACGCCATCGGTGTAGATGAAAATACCATAATTTTCTAATCTTCACTTGTTGGAAAATGTATGGGAAACTTAAGGCTAAAATCCCAGAATGACGTTCATCGAGAGATGATATCCAGGAATGGGTATGGATATGCAGATACATTTATACGACATAATCCCTGTTCCGGCGTCATTGGTCGCGCACTCTGGGCAACCCCTTGTGCGAGATGATTAACCTGCCCGTGTAGAGCGTCGGGTTAGACACTGGCGGCTCCGGTGGGTTAACTCCTACATATTGGATTTAAGCACACACTGAAATGAGCAGCCATTGCGACTCGCTGTATGAATGTGCCTCGTAACAAAACTCAGCAATGGATTGTGTGTTATGCTTGGGACCCGCCACGTAAATACGTGAACCACAGAAAATACTAAAGAGATCTCGCCTGCAACCCAAAGCATTCTCGAGCTAAAAGAAGGAGAGAAAGGGGGAGGAAAATAAAGTGCCCCCTGGAAATTGGCACTGCTCCGTTGTATTTTACTCTTGCAAGCAGTTTTTGGCGAAGACATTGGCCCAATGTCCAAAAGTTGAATCTGAATGCTCATACAAAGCAATGTTACTTCCGATCTTATGTTCCGGTTCCCTGGTCTTGTGTACAGCCATACAGAATCAGTATAGTCTGAATATAAAACCAGAGAGAATTCAGACGAACGTATGTATCGGGGCTTATCCTGCGGATGCCCTCAATGTTATAACCAGGGAACGGATTTTTAGGACCTAAAAACCCATAAGAAAGGCAAAATAAAATAAAGAAATAGGCGGGAAAAGGCAAAATAAAATAGCGAAAAAGGCAGGAAAAGGCACTAGGTATTGCAAAAAAAGCAAAATATGGCACTAAAAAAAGCCAGAAAATACAAAGAACAATCAAAAAATACATTTATTTTAGAAATGTTTATATTACAAGTAAAAAGAGAAAAACTATGAACTAGTTTCATTATATGAAAAATTTGTACTTTGAATCTTTGACTATTTTATCCTTTCGAGTTTCTAACTAATAAAACTTTAATCTGTATAGTTGTAGTAACATTGAACCACAAGCTACATTTTGCATTTTTATTCGATTTTCGCGAAGAATAGCCTTGAATGTACTAAATGTGCGCTCGACATTTTAATCTTTAAAAAAAAATTGTAAATGCTATAATCGCTTTTTTAAAGGTAGAAAAGGCAAGAAAAGGCAAATATCTTAAAAAGGCAAAAAAAGGCAAATATCATAAAAAAGGCATTAAAAGGCAACATCAAATGTGTATATATGGAATCAGGTAAAGCTAAATCGTGGACATTCTTAATCGAATATACAATCGAATAAGGCAATTTCCATAAAATCCGTTCCCTGGTTATAACAAACCTAAAGACTTTCAAATAATGTGCGCCGGATTGGTGTTTGTCGTTTGTCTGTATAATTGGGTATATATTTACATACAAGTAGAAAGTAAGAACTATCGGGCATGGTATATGCTCGTAGTATAATTTCTCGTTTGCCATCCAACATAAGACACCGAAACTACACGATCAGAAATAGAATTCCGCCGACTCTTTCGTGTCAGGCGGATAGAAGGCGTTTTCTCTGATTCATTGATATTAAGATGATCAATCCATACGCCTGCCTTTGCAATCTTTTTCTACGTAGAAGTATTTGCCATCGCTGAAGTCTGTCGCCTTTTAAAACTCAGTAGTAGTTTACGCCGTCGGCCGTCGGCCCCTTGGTGTAGTGGTAAGCAGTGCGCGCTTCCACTCCGCAACACCTGGGTTCAAACCCTGGCCATAGCAACATCGCAAAAAAATATAGAAAAAAGGTTTTTTCTTAACAGCGGTCGTCCCTCGGCAGGCAATGGCAAACCTCCGAGTGTTTTTCTGCCGCGAAAAACAGCTTCTCATAAAAATACAATCGCCGTTCGGAGTCGGCGTAAAACTGTAGGTCCCTCCGCTTTGTGTGACAACATTAAGGCGCACGCCACAATTCGGAGGAGAAGCTCGGCCAAACACTAACATATATGTAAGCGCCAATCTATTATTATTATTATTAGTAGTAGTTTACGCCACCATCAAGGTGAGCGGGTCGCTAGTTTATCGAATTTGCGGATGGCCATTATGACTGTGGAGTCTTTCACTACAAAGTCGAAGCTTATTACGCAGTGAAAAACTTTGCTTTATATATCGTTATTAGTTATTTCGTTGTGGACGTTTTTGGATCAACGGTCATCGCAAAAGGGAGGGTTATATACTAGTCTCAATCGAGAACCAGATCTCACGCACTGTCGAAACTACTTACAGTGAAATTTGTCGTATATAACCCGAATTAAACACATAACTTGTTAAGAAAGCCTAGATTCGAAGTTTCGCGGTGAGTAGCGATTTTTACTATGCTTTGCTCGGTTATTGCTATTATATGCTATTTTTTAAAGGATACATTAACGTTTGGCTCGCGAATTTGTGAGGACCTTACGGAGCTCTGAAGCAGTATTAGTTGGAGGAACTGAACCTTTTCGATATACTTTCATATCTTTGAGAGGTGCGGAATAAGCTTAAAAACTAGGCAAAGTACAGAGCAATGAACTAGGATTCATGCCGTCTTAATAAATATGAAATTAAATCGAAAGAAACCCGCATGACGACTTGCTTCAATAAGAGTGGCTATTGGGAACGCACAACCCAAAAACATTTCGGAGCGCAAATTGAGAATTTTAAGTGAAATTCTCACAAGAACTTTTAGAACGATGGGACTTTTTGGTAACGAATAACTGTATTACTTAAGACGTATAGATTGAGAAGATCTTTGCAAATCTGAAAAAATAACTACATAAATAAACATGTACATTAGACCATACCAGAAAAAATTGTTCGCCGTTCTGAGTCTAAAGTATTTTTGCAAGCCAATTTCGATACTTATTATTTGGCTGAACGAGGGCGTCGCTTTTTTTAATTTTTCGTCATTTACAGTGGAATCTTGAAGCATGATATGTCGGCGCTTTTGCCTTGAGGATAACATTTTTTTGTTCCAAAGGTTATTGACCTCTAGCACCCCGTTCTAGTACTCATCCACAGATCTCAGTTTTTATACCTTTATGTGTACCACCCTAATGCCGGTAAATCAATGCTCTCCAAAAATCAATACGCTTTTGCTAAAGAATTTTCTTGATTGTTCCAGTAGAACTATTACAAAAAAAATGTTTTTATTGCCGAATGTCCTTAGGTGTCATCGAAAAATTTCAAATGGCGACTCCTACGTTCTACCACAACAAAATCTTTTTCGAAAATTCCTTGCAAAAAATCTTTGGACTCGGAGGTGCACGGCGATTTTTTTTTGTATGCTTGTGGGTCAGTCTAATTTCACGTAGATTTTGAGTAAACCAGGTAAGTTGGGACTGCGTACGTGATCGGCCCTTATATTGAAAGAAACATGTACGACTTTTTATGTTCACCACTGTGTTGTGCTAAGAGCGCACAAAACAAGAGGGGCCAATGTTTTTGGTTTTGATAAAACGCTTGATTGGCGCTGCGATGTATGTATTATAAATAGTCGCTAAGCGGGAATTGACTTGGACTGCAATTGTTTTGAAGAATAACTGAAAGACAAAGTATTATTAATGTGTATGTGCAAGTGTCTGCAAATAGACTTTTCGAGAAAAATGCTCAGAATTTGGGAGGTGAGAAAACCACATACAGCTTCTTTTTTTTTGATTTGCTACTTCTTTGTATTTATACATGTATACTACGAGTATGTACTTATGTCTTAAATATTAGAAATTTGTTTACTAAAATCTATATACAGTTACATACATATGTAGGTATATCAGTGGCTATAGTTACACTTCACATGCCCATTCATGCAATTGCAAATTTTTGTTCAGTTCTGTAACTAACTACTTCCAATAATTCTGAATATCACCCACAAAAGGATCTTTTGGTTTTCGCCTGCGATTTTTGCGCTCAATTTTCCTTCTCGGCTTCGTCTTAGTCAACGATTTCGGCTTACCAAACTGCTGACCCCACTCGTCATCTTCCTCGATATCCCGCGTATCTTCTTGATTTTTATGTGGCAATAGACAAGTGCCCTCACATGCTTCCAACGATCGGAACTTATTCCTATTATCATCACAATCATCGGTGGTGAAGAGCTTGCACTCCAGATCATCGGCATCGTAGAACCAGTAGTTGCGTACACCTAAAATTTTGCGATCGCAACGTGATCGCCGCATATATGGTTTGTCAAAGCAAAACTGCTGCACTACATTGTAGCTGCTTGGGTCACTGCTTTCCACATAAACGGCCCTGTGCCCGTTTTCATCATATTGCTCATGTATGCCAAAGTCGTCGTTGTCTTCGTCCAGATTGCTGCGCGGGAAATTGTCGTTGACTCGATTGGAAAGGCCATAACGTGTCGCACCACGACCGCGATAATTATTACCTCCGCCATCAGGCCTATTGTCATTACGATTGTACGTGCCGTCATCCAGTTCTCCGTTATCCTCCTCACCATCTTGCTCGGCAACTTCGCCAAGCGGTTGATTTTGCTCGTCTTCCTCTCTTTCACCAGCTGGTACAGCGAGGATTTCATCATCCGATAAGTTTGGTTGTCGTCCAAAATAACGTGAGCCTGGATGCTCAGGTTGCGGCATGCGCCTTACAGTATCATCTTCTTCTGGTAAATCCTCTTCATTGGCATTCTCATTTTCTTCATTGTCTTCGAATGTGCCAAAGTCACCACCATTATTCTCAACTTTCTCATCAAACCGACTCTGCGTCTGTCTGCCCCCGCAATCTTTGCCTTCACAATCCTTGCGCTGCTCTAACTCTACCGGATTCTCATTCTGCAATGAAATTCGTAGTTATTGAAGATAAAGCTCAGACCCTTTCCGCATTTCTGTCTTACCAAACATTTCTCGCGTTCATAGGGATTTGTATAGTCCCGCGAGCGAGTTGACGTGCCATGTCCACACCGCCGCGAGCATGGTGTCCACGCGTTCCAAGGCGTTAGCTCGCATTCTTCAGTTGCCCCGCTTGCAAGCTCTAATTTTTCTATGCCGCATTGTTCACCAAGACATTTTCGCGTTTGTCTCTGCACTACCTGACAGTTGAAGCTCGCTGCCAAAGCGGGATCCTTATAGGCGCGTGTACGGTACTGTGTGCCGGGACCGCAACGTGTTGTGCACTCACTCCAAGTATTCCATGGGTGGGTTGAGCACTCAAGTGGTATGATGTCAGCTTGAATGCAAGAAAATGTAGAAAAGGTTGGATGATGAAGTAAAATGAAAAGGGGCCAAAGGAATTAGTAAGGCTAATCTACAGAATGAACGATGTATGAGAGCTCAAAAGCGTTGCAGGTGAACAGAAATATATACAATCTCGCGGGTATAGGTTCGCGGATTCTAAAGAGTGTTCTGCGCTAGTGCTACAACATTTGAAAGCCTAACTCAACCTACCCGACTCGCATTCTCGTTCGTACAACTTCTTCCGCCTAACATAGAGCGTAGCCATTGGCTTCATCGGTGCACCGCTCCTTTCATAGAACGGCGATCGTTCATCATTCGGTGATGTAGAGGTGATGCGACGCACAACATCTGGCGGTATTTGTGCTTGATCCGGAGACTGTAAGCAGAGTTTAATTGAAGCTAATAAACTCAAAATGCATCTGTACATAAATTATCGCTCACCATGTACGATGGACCGGCATCGGTGCCAATATCCCAAGGGTATAAATTCAATACTTTTTCACTTATCCAAGTGCAATTTTCCAGACACAGCTCCAAGCCTGCAACGCCCAATATCCAATCGGGCGAGGGTTCAATTTTCGTAACCAGTGAGATGACATGGTGCTGCGGATCGACGCGCACATTTGCCAATGTGGTGCCCGCAACATTCTTGCGATGCGTAATACCTGGCGCCTTGATAATCGTGCGTATATCGCCAGACTAAGAAGTGGAAATTATATTTTCAGCTTCTCCAGAAATTTGCTCAAAACGTTAGCTGTGTGCAAAACATAAATGTACCTTTACTTCTAATTCCAACAACCTAGTGGCGCCGTGCTCCGCCATTTCTTTTAGGCCACGACTCGCAAGTGCTCCATATTTCCAAAAACGATAATCTTGCGAATGCGATGCTCCAATAAGCTCACTGAACCGCGAACGCCATTCTTCTACAGGATAATCATGCGGATGTGTATTACGACCCCATTTACGCTCCACAATCAGCTGAAAAAAGAATAGAAAAAATTATCAACAGCCGTTGTTTACAAAAATTGAACGTGTCCACACTCAGTTTCACGACTTCGTTCTCACGCTCAGACTCTCTATTTATCGTCTCTCATGCCAAAAGTGGTTATATTCTCTGCCTTTTTCTATCACGCTCTATTTCGCTATTTCCCTCTCTTACCCACCTCATACTTTGCCTCATCACATGCGCAACACGGTTCCACCGGTGGCGTCTGGCTATTCACGTCATCAATCTCTTCCGGGCAGATACGTTTCGTTAGAAAGCCATCATCTATAAACCAGACGTTGCGGTGTTGCAACACAGCTGCCTTGACGAGCACGCAACCGCCCGCAGGCGCCACCCAGCCAACGCTTACGCGAATTTTTGTATTCGCATTTGTGCTCTCGATCATATTCTCACACGCCGAGCTGAAGCGCGTCTCAGCGGCATCGATAAGCTCAAAATAGCCAATTGTTTCGGGGCCGGCAAGAATTGAGGGATCTTCACTCTCAACAACCAGCGTGAAGCTGATAAACTTGAGTGCCGCGTCACAAGATAGGGAAACTGAAACGTTGCAAAATAACAATAAAAATATGTTAATTATAAGCAATAAGCGCACGTTTTCGGAAAAATAGTAACATTTATAAATCGATGTAAGTAAGCTTTGTACATATGTAAGCTTATCGCGTAAATATTTAAAACTCATTATCTTTTTACTCACTGTTGTAACGTTGCCCTGGTATATAGGTCGCGGGATTGCCTTCAATCAACACTAGAAAATTCTCATCGACCGCTGAGCGATCACCGCTGGCACCTTGCGGTCGCCGATCACAGGCCTGCCACGAATTGCGTATAATGAGTAGCACTAAAAACAGCTGTGCACAATGCCACATATCGTGGTAAACGATTTTCCGTTTCCGTGAAATCAAAGGAAAAATGAAAAGTAGCGAAACATTTAGAAGCGGAAGTAAATTTTTTAAAACACTCCGCTGCTAATGCTAACCGAATTTTTACTTTTTGTTCCTTTCGTTGTGATGGCTCCTCAGCAAATGATGTTCAGCTTCGAATAGTGTCTTGAGATAGGCCGAAATTGTTGTGAGTTCGGAATGTGCTCAACGATCAGCTGCGCTTATTTATGCTTAGCCCCCGCAACACTCCCGATCATTTAGAGGCGGTATGTTGACAAAATAAAAATATTAATTGGTCACTTTTTGTTTGTTAGTTTGTTTTTGTGTTCGACGCACTGAAATTGTGTCACGCGCTTATCGCTTGCCATAAGTAGTAAAGTAGCGTCTTGGGTGCCATTTAGCGGCTTAAGTTTAAACCTAAAGGTTTCGCTGACAGATATTTGTGATTAAAAATCGCAAAAAATATGGAGAAGCGTGAATATGTTATAGATATGCGGATGCATCTTTGGCATGCGATGTGTTCGGTGGTGACACTGCCACTGCAACGCAAAATAAAGTTGGGCAGTCATAGGAAATTATTTTTTAGAAATTTCGCATATAAGATTAGTTCGTGTTGAGTTCGACTTACGCAACGTGGCTCAGTCAGACGGATTCATATACCGCCCTTTGTCAGGAAGAAATATGAAAGAAAGTGCAAGGAAGATGAGTGAACAGTGACAATTAGCATCAAATGTTCAAGAATCGGCTCACTTCCGCCCAACTAAATGAGATTCAACAGGCTGAAACCTTTGTCCCACGTAGTGGACTTAACTCTCACAGTACCCTAAACCTATTTCAGAAAAATTTTCAATTTGAATTGCAAATTGTGAGGACAAAAAAGCTAATGCCAATAAAAAGTTGTCATTCATATTTTTTCTAAAAAAAAATATTTTTGGTCCTAAATATTTTTTTTTTTTAATTTTACAAAAATATCTAAACGGAAATGAGATAATTTCATATTTTATCTCTCAGAGGTGGTCCCATAGTCAGAGCTGGGTCGTAATGATTCCTTTAGGAATTAAATTACTCCCAATTACAGATTACAAGGAATTATAATTAGGAATCAATTCCTTCAGTCCACAGCAAAGGAATCGATTACTTTTTCAATTCCTTGAAGTAATTTCAAATGTAATTGGGTTTTTCTTTAATTCAATTACAAGGAATTTCATATTGTAATTGGAATAAATTACGTGCTAGTAATGTAATTTTTTTTTCCAATTCCTTTGAAAGGAATTGAAAATGTAATTGATTTTTTTTCAATTCCATTACCTGGAATTGCAAGAGTACTTTAGTTTTTCCAATTACTCAATGGAATTGTAAAAGTAATCGAGAAACTGAAAGTTCATTCACGAATATACAATGTGGAATTTTTGTTGTGGTCAAAGATTAAAATCGAAAGCACACATTGGACATCTTCTATGTATATCTATATATATATAAAAATGTTGTGTTCGTATGTCACGGTCATCAAAACCCGAGAACGGCTGAACCGATTTGAATAATATTTNCATATACCGCCCTTTGTCAGGAAGAAATATGAAAGAAAGTGCAAGGAAGATGAGTGAACAGTGACAATTAGCATCAAATGTTCAAGAATCGGCTCACTTCCGCCCAACTAAATGAGATTCAACAGGCTGAAACCTTTGTCCCACGTAGTGGACTTAACTCTCACAGTACCCTAAACCTATTTCAGAAAAATTTTCAATTTGAATTGCAAATTGTGAGGACAAAAAAGCTAATGCCAATAAAAAGTTGTCATTCATATTTTTTCTAAAAAAAAATATTTTTGGTCCTAAATATTTTTTTTTTTTAATTTTACAAAAATATCTAAACGGAAATGAGATAATTTCATATTTAATCTCTCAGAGGTGGTCCCATAGTCAGAGCTGGGTCGTAATGATTCCTTTAGGAATTAAATTACTCCCAATTACAGATTACAAGGA